GCCCTTTTCCGGCTCAAGACCATGGCCTCGGATTTGGAGGCACTGAGCTTCATCCCGGCCGCTTCGCACTCGGCCGCTGATTGGCCACCCCAGGTGCCACCCGCAAAATGACTGACAAGTTGGGGTGGGGATCACATTTGACAATAAAAGATTGCCAGAGCTAAAACAAAGTAAATATTTCTTATGCAGCTGTATTATCTAATATATTAGATATAAATTAGATAAATTAATATAAAGAAACAGTTCCACCACACCAAATATGTATAAAAAAAGAGCTGAATTGTAGTCACCTGAATTAAGCATCTTGGATTCTTTTATTACTACCTAAAAGGTGTCCCTAAAAGTCTCTAAAAGGTTAAAATTGAGATTTCAAAATGATATAAGCATTGCTTTTGGCTACCATCGTATCAAATTTCAGTTCAGTATTTCTGAAAAAAATATATGGCCAATTGGACCAAATATTTGAAATTAGCTTTGGTGGCTATCTTGGATTTTGTATTTCCATTCAGATTTTGTTAAAGATTCATGGCTTCTACTAWATACTGTAAATTTTCAGCTGKGTATTTAATGATTGACTCATAGCTCTTTGTATAATTAGCATTAGCAATTAACTTAAATTGGGACTAGCTGTCATTCATGGCTACACCACAATAAATTTCAGCTCTATTAGTCTTAAAATAGCTGAATTATAGCCATTTAAATGTAGCTGTGGTGGCCATCTTAAAGTTTGAAATCCAGGGTAGTTTTATTTATTTGAGTGCCCCCCCCCCCACAATACATAACACCGTGGCCACCCCAGTGCTGTTGCAGAAATATCTAGCACTGCCCCTGTTGTGAGTAATCTATTCGTCTCGTCAGTTATGATAAAGTATTCGTAGAACTGCTGAGCCTCATTTGCATAAAGTGAAACTCTTCAGTAAATGAAAGTGTGAAGCTGAGCCGGAGCGCCGCAGACCTCTGATCGGTACGCAGCAACACAAGTGAAACCCCCCAGGAGGCTCTCGCTGCATGCTGATTCTGCAGAGACGCACAGAAAATTACATCAACAAAGGAAGTGCAGAGTCGCACTGATGTTCAGTGTGTTTGTGGGGATTTAAAGAATCAGGATGTACCGACAACCTGAACTCCTGATTTACCTTTTTGTAATCGATGTTGGCTCAGACCAGACTCTGCTATTGTTTAGCTGTTGTTTATGTTTCAAAAAAGGAATACAAAAATAAAAAACTGGGTAGCACTTTACATTAACTACACTTTATTTAGCCTCACTTTATCATTATTTAATGGTTTGTTAACCTTGAAAACATCATTAATTAGGGATGATTCAAACTTAAATAAGCTTAATATTAATAGTTACTGAAGTTAATTATTTTCAAAACCAACATACTGATTATTTATTCATGCTTAATAAGTCATGAATAAAGTATTCCATATATTCTTTGTGTATATGCATATAAACGGTCATATAAATGTACTTTCACATCATGCGTTCGACATGTTAATGCTTAGAGGAGGTTTGAACTGACTGTGAATTCAGTCTGATTTCCACCTGTTAAAAGGAGCCTTTCAGGGTTTTGTTTACATTAATAAATACAAAAAAAAAAACATGAATAGTCTTCATTTTAAAGGGTTCACAAAAAGATTTAATTAACTACTGACAACTGCTTTTTTTTTCTTTGTTTATTTGGATCCCCATTAGCCATTGTCGAGACAGTATGGYTTCTGTCCCTGGGGTCCTCATCATAAATAAGCATTTATTACAAAAACAGTTACACACACTTAATATGACATTAGTAACATAGCATATTAATTCATAAATGTACAATTAAAACACTTTATATGATGAAATAATTAAGCATAACTCTTTTAAAAGCTCTAGCATTTGTTACATTTAAAATTTAAAATAGAGTAATTCCAAATTTCCTGAGGAAATGCTAACATGAATATGCTTATTGCAGAAAGCTTCAGCTGAAAGCTGCCAAAATGGAGCTGAAAATGTTTTATAGCACAACTGTTAATGCCACAATTTTTAAAGTTGAAAGAAGCACAAAAAGTAGAAACTATCAGAATAGCAAAAAGAAGAAAAATAATAGCCGAAAGAGCAGAGAAAAGCTAAACTTAGCATTAAAATAAGCTAAAGGCAGCAGACACAAGTTGGAATTCACACCCAGATGATGAAAGGTGTGTAAAAATGTCAAATTTGAAGGAAAAGAAGAATAAAATTACAAAAAGTTGATTTTTTTTAAATAGCTAAAACAGCCAAAATGGCTAAGATGTAGTTAGAAAATCTTAAATTAGCACAAGGAAGCATAGTGAGCACAGGTTTCCTGAACTAAGCAGAAAGAAGCTGAAATAACCACCAAAATGTGATTTTAGCCTTAAAAAAGCTAACTTTAGCTAATAACAGCTAAATATTAGCAAACATTGCTGCAAATGTCTGTATCTATTAGAAAGCGACTGTAAGAAGCATGAATAGCTCAAATTAGCAGAAAGAAGCTGAATTAAAGCTAAAATAGCAGGGAAAAAACTACATTTTGCAAAAATGTAGTTTTTCTTCTTGAAACAAGAAAGTTACAGAGAAACGTATGGARTAGTTAAACATTAATAAAGAGAAAAGTGAAAATAGTGTGAATGTTTGTAYAACATTCACTATTATTGATGCTCTGCAGGATTAGTAGAATGTAAATAATTAGCCTTTATAGGTTAAACATGTCAATTAATAGCTTATTACATATGAATCATCCTTAATTAATGATTTTTATGGTTAACTATCCATTTAATAATAATTAAATAATGCTAAATAAGGTATAGTTATTATTTTAAAAAGTATAACATCTAATGAAACTGATAAAAGATGTCTGCCTGTCCTGATGTCATGAAGGGATAAATTAAAGACGGCCAGGCTGGAAATATATTTCTGCTTTGATGCTGGAGGTGCAGAAGACCAGGACTCTGACACTTCCTGAGGTCCAGAACCTTTTATTATCTTGTCACCGTCTGTTTACACACACACACACACACACACACACACACACACACACACACACACAC